ACTTAATGTGTCAAATATATAAAATAATATATATAGTTCTTAATTTAAAAAAAAAAAAATGAAAAATGAAAAAATGTAAAATAAATGGCAGAATATTATTTAAACTAGTACTTCAACAATGTTTGCAAATCTAAAATTGTTGATAAATTAATATTTATTACTTTTTCTTTGTTTAACTTCAACCATTCAATAAGAATTTTTACTACCAACACAATTTTTTATCTTTTCTCTCGATTTTGAGTTATATTTCTCTAGTTCTTTACTCTTAAACTTTCAAGGTCGTTCTTTTAAATCACATTCTATCAACTTTTTCTGGGTCACTTTCAGTGTCACTTCCCTGTTTTGTTTCCGGTTTATTGCTAGTTCAATTGTATTATCGTCGTTTTGGCCCATTACATACCCAAGACAGAGTATTTTTTGAACTTATATAAAGCTTTTGACTAGTACACCACTATTTCCTCTTGTTAGCCATCGTTAAACTTTTTCTTTCACACTCTACTATTCAATTTTAAAACAAAAAATATTCGCCAAATTTTATTTTCAAACGTCCCAAGTTTTAATCCTATTATACTGGTATTTTTCCGTGTTTCACATCGGTAAGTAAGGCAAGTGTGACTTTTATCATCTAATTACTTCATAAGTCGATTTTTTTATGTAATTTTGTTTGCTTCATTGTTTTATAGTGTTTATATGGTTTTAGTTTTATCCGCGTTAACTTTTAGTTTTATTTTTTCCACAGCTTCATCTAGACTCTTTATTCGGATCTTATGTTGGTCTACTGTTATTTCAGTAGTTATTTTATATCGTTTTGTACTTCTCCAACTTTATCTTAATTAGTAGATAAAAATAATATATCTCCCTACTTTAATCTTGTTTCTAATACAAATCCTTCAGAAACTTTATAACTCACTATAATTTGGTACTTACTGTATTTCTTGTAATGCAAATTCTAGTCATTTCACCAATTTCTTTGCTATTCCAAATATAATAGTTATATGAATTAAGCTATCACGTTGTATATTGTCATACGATTTTTAAAATCAACAGATACTCGTATAGTAAGGTTTTGACGTAATTTATTTATTCTTTTCTACTATTTAACTAATAATGAAAATTTGATCTAATATTGATCTTACTTTGAAAAAAAATTATTGATACTTCGACGCAGACTCAAAGGAGGGTAACAAAGGGCTTTAGTCCTCTCTCTCTCTCTCTCTTGAACGTATTATATTATTATGTATACAGTTAATATTTAATATATCTTAATATATTTTATACATTATCTTTATGTAAATAAAAATTAGCCCCCACTTTCATATTTTTAGATCCGCGAGTGCCAGTACTCTCCCAGATTCTCCGTGTCAAGAGTTTCACATCGGTTCTATAATAACTGTGAAAAACTTTCGTAACCGCCGGGCCAGTATCACAATTAAATAATATTATGCACACTTCCGCCCACATTTACTACTGAACCGCGATTTCAGTTGCGATTGCTTATCTAGTACAATGACTGATTAAACATACAAACTAAATATTATCTATTTCCGTGAATCCTTTTTGTTTTATAATATCGGTGTAATTATTATCTCATAAACTATTAATATGTATTACTACAACTGCCGAAATATGCTGTTTTATTGTATAATCGTAGTCGTAAAACTCCACATATTATTTTATTACTTTATTTGTGGGTTCCTAACGCACAATTATTAAAGCTTTTAATTATTATTCACGTAGTCACTAATTTCCATGTCTCTTTTTATTATTATACTTTTAAGGAACTAATCAACATGTACCTATAATCGTATTATAAATTATAATATCCGTTTGCGCTTACTGCCATTAAATTTTGTATTGCTTATTATACAACACATTTTTTTTTATTATTTACAGTTTTGGGTCATAAAACCAAAGTACCGTGTTAATATTACTATATACAATACATTTTTGGTCATATGTCTGTAATTCCTTTAATTCGTTGTCAATAAGCTTCAAAATAATATTTTTAGTATTATATTCAGTGTAAGGTGCCAGTTATCGGTAATTATCATTATTATATTTTACATGAATGCACATTTTTAAATTATATTTTTATTTTTATTTTCTATACATTCAAGTTCACTAATAATTGCAATAATTGTTTTAATTAATATATATTATTGAAAATTAAACATACTTTGCATTATATTAGTCATTATAACCACTATTGACTATTATAAAATACAATTATAATAGGTTCAGATAGAAATTGACCAGTACCAATAAATTGTACAGGTTTTATTTTTTATTTATTATTATTATTGTTGACCCATTGACGGACACTACTGCTATTGCAGTAATTTACAATTTTGATGTAAATATAATATATATATATATATATATAATATAATTGGTTTTTTTAAACAAAAAATGTATCATTATTTATATCATATATGTATATTTATAGTTTTTGAGCCGACAGAGCCCATAATTTACTATTATTTTGTTATACATTTGTAAAAAATACATAATATTTCATTACCGTATTTACATTTGAATTACCATTTTACAGTTTTAAGTATACTGCTTTCAAACGCCAGCTATAAACTTGTACTCACAAGATTATTTCGGTCCTTCCCACTTCATGTTAAGTACTATACACATATACCTATAAATATAATTATTTTGTAGTTAAAAATTCATAAAAAGTTTTCTGTCTATACTTAAAATTTGAAAATTGTATACATGTTTCTTTATACGTTTTACAACTTACATTAAATAAAAAAATGTCTACCAAAAAGACAAATTAGTTTTTTATGACCGTTCAAATTTAAAATGTTCACGATATTCTAATCGTTCTAAAATAGAATAAAATATTCTAATACACCGTGTCACCGCTCAGAATCGTTTTTTGTATACAATGATATTTTTGTTAATTTTATTATTAATATTAGTTAATTCAATTTTATCAAAGTTATGTGAATTATATTATTAAAATTAGACATTTATATTATCATTAAACTCAATTTTTACTTCTATATATTTAAATTAATGTATTATACAATTATATTAACAATATTTGACCTATATAATCATATTTCTGGTAGAATAGTTTTCATAAAATTATTACCTATTAAATTCGAAAATATTATACAGGCTCCATTTAAGGAGCTGAGTTTTATCACACTTTTTATGCACGCGTATAATTGCTACTTCTTTCCAGATTTTGTTCATTTGCAACTCTTTTTTGATGTGTAAACATCTATGCTATCGGTTTGTAGTACGACCTTCTTGGGGAATTGAGCGTCAGGCGTAAGTCATGTAGATGTGACTGCTTGAGTGTGTGTGTGTGTGTGTGTGTGTGATGCTATTGCGCACGGTATTTGCGCAGGTACCCAACATACATAATATAATATATAATAATATAATAAAATATAATATATATATTGAGATACGCCGGTTTCTATAAAAATTATGTTTATCGGAGTTACGACTAATGCGTATCAATTAACACCGGTTTCATGAAAGAAAATACATTTAAATATTATGATTATGATACCAATCGACGCGCATTTTTTTTTCCATTGAATGACATGAAAAAATGAAATTTGAATTTTTTGGAGTTACGCCGTTTGCTAAATAGGTTGACGATATATAATACGTATATCATGATTAATAATATATAATAAATAATTATAATATATATAAATTATAAATAATAATAAAAATAAAAAATATATAAATAAAAATAAAAAAGTTAAATATAAATTTTAAAGAGAACGCAATCTTGTATGATTATTGTTACCTTATTATACAAATTCCCAATCTAACCATGACATATTCCCCAATCAAAGTCGTACTGCAGCTAAGATGTTTACACATCATTCGTGAGTACAAAGGCACTTACATAGGTTTTTTTTCCAAATCTTTTGACACACTCTGAATATAAATGTGTGTATTTCTTTTTATTTTCTTAGGTCAAATAGAGTATGCCATCTGATCCAAGTGCTTTCCAATTATTCAGACTGTTAATAGATGGTAAAGCAAAAATCAAAAAACAAAAACCGAACGGCATCGTATTTTGATTTTTTGCCTTTCCTTCCCTTCTCATCACTATATTTATTTTATTGCTAATACTCAATTAAAGTTTTGTCGGTCAATGAATCACGTTAAAATATACAAAATACGTTCAGTATAACATTGGAGGCATTTATGGTTGTAAAACTAATTATGAGAGTATTATAATTTATTAACTTAAAAAAACTTTTCTTTTTACCTACCACAGTTTATTTGTTATAATCTTTAAGATAGGTAAATTAACTGATTCACTTATTAATAAATAGAAATTTCAAATAAAAATTAGGGATGCAGCGTATTTTTTACATACAAAAATAAAATAAAAATGAACCATTAAATGTATTTAATCTTAATTATTATTGAAATAAAATAAATTCTTAATTTGATATTTTATGAACATTTATAACTTTAAGACAGTAACATTTTTTATAAATCTGTCATTGTTCGTGTTTTTATGAAAAATAAGATTCGCAAGCAATTTTCATAAAGTATCATATTATATTTTATAGGCGTAATTATTATAAAAACTGAAAAAAACATTGCTCTAGATTGTATCTTTCCTACGCAACACCGAATATAATACATTTTATCGAATTCAATGATATTTTATACGGTCATAGTATTATTTACCAAAATAAACATGACCCGAGATCACCGAAACGGAACTACCGTTAAACACTGTGCATCTCACCGTTCGTAATTGTGTTATACAAATTTAAGCAATACAAGTTTAAACTAAATACAGTATTAAGTAGGTAAATCCTATTTTAAGGTATTTTTTTCATAAGGCTTGTTACGTATTACACGACGGTTTACGAAAATAAAAACTGTCATGCGCGTATTTCGAGAGATGTAGTCTTCAACATTGTGTGTAACATCGACGAATGTATTGTGCTTCAAAACGTATTGGCACTAATATTTTATGTTTCCTTTATTGTTTTTAGGATACCAATTCAATATCAAATTCGACAAACAACGGGACACCGGAAAATGACGAGTACGAGGACAGCGGAGAGGTGGCTCTGACAGCGCTGCCACTGTTCTGTATAGGTAAATCTAACTCAGAACAAATCACATCGTTTTGAACCGTATTAAACCACGCCAATCTACAATATTATAATATTTGTAACGGTGGTGTATACAAAACATATAAAATATCTATGACATAACCGTATATTTTTAGTTCTTGTTTCCCTGTTTCCCTGCAGATGAATTTTTATTAGATTGTTCGTAAAATTTGACGGTATTGAAAATTACTTAAATCGTTATATCTACCTCACTTTAAAAATTGCTCGCTGAATGAGACGATTGTTGCTATGATTGTTATTGTTATATTCCTACATATCATAAACAAAAACCACCAAGTATTAACATTTTGTATAATCCGTTATCGTGAATAGACAGTAGCAGCAGTAAAAACATTTTTTTGGAATTTTGTACTGTTCTAGAAGTATTCCTAGTTCACAAGTTTAATTAACCATGCTTAAAATATTTATAATCCGTTATTCAACTCAAAATAGTTTTTATTTATTTCACATAGAGCTATGTAATACATTTAATTTCATTAAATATGTAAGTCTATGGCATAACATAAATAAATAATAATATATAAATACATAAGTCAATTATATCTTAGACAACGCTCAATTTTTATAAATAACAATCTTTTCAATCAATTATATCCATAACCACTTACTTAACTTGGGTTCACTAAATGCGCAATTTTGATATAGAAATCTGAGATCTATTTTTTCAATATTTTTTTTTTATTTTTTAACGTTTATATACCTGATTTTTTTTACTATTCAAAAATTATCTAAGATGTTCATTTAATTTCTATCATACCACTTTGCCGAAAGTGAATAAAGAACCATCCTCAATTCTTCATAGATTTTGAATGCTGTTTTGCATAATTTTATTCTGATTCCCTTGCAATACTTTACATATTGTGTATATTCTATTCTCGCCACTCACCTTTCGGTATATTATGCTTGCTTAATAGCATTGCTTTGCCTGAAACTGTGTCGACTATTGTATCATTTTTTTTTATAATATACTTTGTTTCACCTAACCATTAATTTCTAGCAATTTTTTTTCTTTAGATATCAAATTGAACCACGACTCCTTCACTTAATTTTTTTCATCTGCAATTTTTTCCACTATATTTTAAATTATATTATTTAAATTGCTCCACATTTTTTCAATCTCACTGTGTTCCCAAAAAAGTTTTATTTTGAAAGATTTCCCTTGCGGCAGTCTCACTTAGCTTAAATATCAAACAATTCTTCAGTATTTTTATCTCATTGAACCCAATCTTTTTTTCAAGGCTAGTTTTTAATTTTTTGACTGCTAAAATATGGTCTGTATCAATGTCTGTGCTTTTTACATCTATAAAGAAGCTAAAAATGTAATACATTTATAAAAATCTCAAAAAGATCCAAAATACGTAATTTTGTTGAAAATTTAAAGTCTCTGCGATTATTATTTTTTAATCACAACAAAAAAATAATATCTACTTTTGATGTAATTAGTTTTGAATAAAAATATTCGTTTTTTTCATAATTTTTTTTTAAAAGATGATTTAAAAATATACTGGGAATTTTCTCAATTTAGACTCAACTTAGTACAAAATAAATCCAAGTTAATAGTGCACTCTTCTCTCGAATTTTACGATCGATCTTTTCTAATTTTTTATCTAAAAAATTTTTCTGATAAAAAAAAAAAATCCTCACATCATTGTTAAACCAATACATCGTCGTTTTACTCAGAATCTAATATAATTTTCCAAACTTCAAATTTAAATTGATTGATCCAGATAAACTAAAGAATATATAAGAAGTTAAAAAAAAACAATCCTAGATATATATTTTTTTTTTATATTGCGTTTTAAGTACTAGATTTAATAGCTTTTAATAATTTTTGGTATAACAATCGTACTTTATACGTGTTCATGTTTTCCAGGATCGTTTCTGATCGTCGTTATATTTTTGTCGATCGCCGGCAACGTACTGGTGTGCATGGCCATCTACACCGACAGAGGCTTACGAAGAATTGGTAACCTGTTCTTGGCCTCATTAGCGATTGCTGACCTTTTTGTCGGGGCATTGGTTATGACGTTCGCGCTAGTAAACGACCTGCAAGGCTACTGGATGTTCGGTGCCAAATTCTGTGACATATGGACTGCAATAGACGTGATGTGCTCAACCGCGTCCATACTCAATCTATGTGCCATATCACTTGATAGATACATTCACATAAAAGACCCGCTGAGGCAAGTGGTACCTTTAATACCAGAGTTTAACCTATTTCATAAGAAGAAAAAAATGCGATAAAAACTAATAACTCTTTTCGATATTCCCAGTAAAAATGAATTTATATAATTCGCTACATATTTTTTCATCCGAATATGTATTACACTACAATAATATTAATATTTTACAATTCAAAAGAATATTGGAAAATTAATACGACTTATAATTAATACAAATCACTTTTTGAATATTTTATCACTATGATGACTCCTAGCTATATATATATATATTTTTTATTTTAAGAATACGTTTATTCGTATATTTTATTCTCCCTCCCCTCCAACTAAAATTAACTCAATACGTTCACTTGATTTAGACTGCGTTTTATATCGATAATTGTAAATTTTAAACGTCACCCTTATAATACCCTAAATTGTAAAACTGGTAACGGCGCATCATTGATATCATGAATCCGTGCACATATATAAATCCCATATAAATTGGCTCGTGCCAAATAAAATATGCTTTGAAACGTGGCATAGCTATCTAAATCTTTTCAACCGATTTCGTTTTACAGCAAATCTATATATTGGTTTTGATTTTCTAAAATCCTTAAACTACTACTTAGGTATAACTGGAGTATAAAAGACTTACGATATTATATCGTAAGTTAAGAAAACAATGACATGTTTTGCTTATTGGATGGCTCTTTTCTTTTTTTTTGCATATATTATTTGTATATTTTTTTATTTTTACTATAAAGACTATTAATATTATATTTTAAAACTATATAAAATATAATATATTTATATACAATGCATATTATACATGATTAATGAAATCATTCTATCGTAGAAGCGAGGTAGACAAAATACAATAATTATTAATTTTTTTTTTTAATTTAAGGATAAATACTAAAACTCATTAATTAATACCTAGTAAAAAATGTAAAAAATATAGTTTTATGTTCCTAAATGGTTTTTTTCAAAAAAATTAAAGAAAAAAAATATGTTCTTAGATATTTTTTAGTTTACGAAATAAAAATTAGTCTAAGTATATACACGCCTCGTACCAAGAATTATAAGTTTATTTTTTCATTACAACAAATTGAAAGAACTCTAAATGTAACATAAAAATGTATTACATTGAACTGATACAATTTTTATAGGTCTGTTTTCAAATTAACAATATATATATATGTATATAACGTAATTATTTGAATACAATAATTACAGTAATATTAAAATTGAATGCTAAGTGCTTTTGCTTTTTAATAATTAAATATATAAAAATATAGTTATAACATACTTAAGTAAACAAAAGTAAAATTTTGTAAATTAATTATTTAACTACTGTTAATTTAAAACCATGTAACTTCTAGAATTATGACTTAATGAAATGTAAAAAAAAACACTCTTGTTTTACTAAAATATCAAATATAATAATATTTTTTTTTAGAAAATTCAATAATCTGTTTAGTACAATAAGCTATATATACTCATATCATAATCAACAGTATTTTACAAAAACAAAAAATAAAAAACAGACATGAAGGCTTGACTGAAGGAGTGATGATATAGCGACAGCACTTCAGTGAATAATAGTACCTAGTATGCAAAAATATATACGTATGATTTTTCTTTTATAAACTGACGTAGGAAACAAAAATAATTAATAGATTCTGGGTGTGAAAAATCTACAAAAAAAATACATTAATTTTCACCTAAAAAAGCTGTTAAAATATTCTAAAACTTTTTTAACAACGTGCATATACCGGTAAATTGAACGTACGATGTCAGATCAAACTTTAAGATGAACTTTTAGAGAACTTGCTAAGCTTAATTTAAAGAAAAATTATCTCAGAAGTCATTTTTATACTTTATGAATGGCTTATGGGCTCGAGTATAAAGTAATTTTACTAATATACAAATAGTTAATTTTATAACAATTAAAATATATATAAATAAGGTATCTAACATTTTAATCCATCCACAGTACATTAAAATAAACGAGAAAAATACGTTCAATTTAATCCAAAACCCTGATATCAGCTGTATAATTTATTTTTTACTACGCATTAGAATATTGTAGTTTTTAGCTTTTTAAACATTTGATATCATAATACAAATACATCAGATTTAAACCAAAATTTTGGTTTATATTATCATTCATTTTTTCGTTTGTTTGTGATGATAAAATAAATATATTATATTTTTATTCATTAAATTAAAAATTGCAATAATACAATTTTTAACTCAAATAAATTTGGAATAAACTTAATTGGAAGTAAATCAAATTCGTTATTTAACTGTGTAAATTAACTCTTAGTTTCAGATTTTTAGATATAAAAATCTATTTAACTATCGTAAAATGTGGTGAAATATTGATACCGTTTTACGAACGGATTTTAGAATAAAAATGTACATAAAAGTTATACGATCGTTAAATTTGATTGACGACTGGTAGCAATATGTAACATAATTGAAAGCCACAGGTTTGCTGATGACTTGCTTAATCATATTGACGTGTTAAAATTCACTCCCAGTATCCAAGTATCGAGGCTACATGGTTGGACGAAGCATAGATGTATAACATTGATTTGAACCCAATTACGCAGGAAAGTTGATGAACGAACGTGACGGGAATAGTAACCTCCGGTATTCGCGTTAGAGATAGTGGAATTAAATTGGAAAAAGTGGTTGCCATTTTGACCTTAAATTTATTATTTTTTTTTCACTTTAATCGTTAAAACGATATACCGTAGGTACAATTTACTTTATAAAAAAATAACGTCTACCCTTTAGTGGAATAAGTTTAAGGACTATCAATTATCATACACAATAAAATATGCTTTCATCACGTCAAGTTGATTACTCCTAATGATAATAATAATAATAATAAAAATTCTTGTCAATTCAATTCAGAAAATATTTTCAATCGGGTCAGGCATGTCAAACTCGTAGCTTTTTATAACTCTAAACTTAACCTAACTAAATCGATTTATTCACTAATAGACAGATAGAGTTAATGAATATAATAAATAAAAATAATAATATACTATCAATAATTTATATTTTATATTGCATTATATTATATGCGTTATGTATAATTGGTTTAATTATTATAATGTTTAAATAATATTATTTAGACTTTAGTGGATAGGTGGTACAAATTTACCTTAAAATCGTGATTCTATCAATAAATACATTTTCCCTCCTCGTGTAAACATTTCAAAACCAAAAAAATGTATTTTATAATCAAACGTTTATAATATATTTACCTATTCAATACATCTTATAATAAACGCTCGTTTACAAAAAAAAAATGTATAATAATATAATAATAAAATGTAATTTCCTTCAATTCAGATTTTTTGAACCAGATAATATTCTGAAATTTACATGAATGGGTATTAGGTAAACCATAATATAACTTTTGTATACCAATAATAATACTATATAAATATATAATCAAATACAGTATTAATGTGATCCCAAAATGTAAATGCAATACACACTTCAATAGCGATAGTATTATATTATGTAAATCTAAAATCGAACACTTAATAATAAATAGTCTAAACAAGATTATATCACGGTGCCATAACATTAAAATTTTAAAATGAAATATTACTTTATCCAGAACGGTGGCGTTGTATTTTTTGACTTACACGCTGACATGTATAATTACTAATTATTAAATTACCTACCTGTTATATATGTTATTCTATTCATCACAATATATTCTGTTCCTGAAAATTCAATTTCCACAATTTGTCAACCGAATTCATAAATTAATTTGTTCCAAATGACCGCTTTAATTTTGTTTGTCGTAGTTCAAAACATATACAGCTCGTCGTTCGAGTCAGTTTTGCCAGTTAAACGGACCCGCGCCACAAAACCCCTACTTTGCGGTCGCCGTACTCGCATGTGTAAATGCATACCTAAATAGTATAATAATACATTAAACCAAACGCCGCCCTTCACGCTTACAAAATGTAATTGCTTATTATCGTGGGCCACCATGTAATTTTTTCCCCGAGATTGGTAAATTTAATGTTTATTTAGACGTTAAAGTTTACACGCCATTTTACGCATGATTCTCCTAACAGTCCTAACACGAGAATATTCCTGTAAACAGCACGGAGACAGTTGTATATTACAATATACCTAATAGGTATAACTATTTACGCTCGCCTGCATATTATAGCTAGCTAGTAAATTATTATAGTCTGGGATGTCTGACCGCTTGGGACTAAATATCGTCTCTAGAGTAAACCATGACATTCGTAAAACACCATTTGCATTTTAAAGACGCCCCCGCAATACCTCCCTTATAATCCTCGAAATTGCAAACGTTCTTCCGATCCTCTCGCAGAATAAGCTTAAGGCTTAAGAATTACTAGTATGTTCATTTTCAATGGTCTGCATTTTTTTGTCTCTTCGAAACCGTCATCCGGATTCTCGTATTATTATTTTTTTTTTCCATTGACTTTAATACAGATCATCTATACCTCGTATATGCATTAATGCGTAACATTGTATGTTATTTTTTATTCGAAACATCACAAGAAATCCGTCAGATCTGCATATTCTGTTATTATATTAATTTACAACAATACGTTTTCTATAAAATCGACATATACTTATACATATACATATGCATTGTAGAATAATATTAAACTCGTTATACGAACAGCGCTAAACTCTCTGAATTCCATGGAGGTACACTATTGTAATAATGTCGTTAATAGACAAGTAGTGTGTGTGAGTGCTTATTTAAATATGCATATACATATATATATATATATACGTGTTTGAGGGAATAAGAGGGTTTTGCAGTGGCAATGATTGACAAACTTCAAAGGGCTGTGTGTGTTTAAAATGTTTACGCTTCAATCGTATTCCACCCGTGATACAATCTGAATTACGCGATACTCGAACGTACATTGCGTGAATAGATTTTATGAGTACATACTCTGATGTTTTACAACAATAATAATATTATGTAAGTAATAAAT